TGTTTTACCTGAGGTATATTTCTTTTCTTATAATTAGTTGTCCGCATTAGAATCTATGTACTGTTTTCATCTTGTTGTATTAATGATGTCAAATTTTCTTGTTTAGCTCTTACTCGCTGTGACTCAAATAGAAATTTCAAGACTTATTTTATACTAATGCAGGGCACCTGCATATATTCCAGAACATCCACTGTTTCCCCAAAGAATCGCAAAGAAACCGACTTCGCCTTAATGACTATATGAACACAATCAATTGAGACACGAACGCATCAATTCATCACCTTGTCCCTCGGTTAAACTTTATATCAATCGTTGTATAATTCAATTATGAATTGAACGACAAAATGGAAACAGTTTATTGAAAACTATGATTAATGAGCTACAAATCAAAGATCGAATTTTAGTACATTATATGGCTTTATATGGCATGTATCTAATTTCTACACAAATATTAACTATAATTATCTACAACTAATTATATATAAGTACTTCTTTACTCTTCAACGACGACCAGTCGCACTGAAGCACCTACAGAAAATGCTATCACAAATCGATTAAATATACATTTGACCTACTTTTCCTCGTTAACAGTTAGCATAGTATCGCCTAATACTAGGTTTAAACAGTAAGGTAGTTGCTTGCTATAGACACATACCACATCTTGCGTCTAGTGCAAAATGTCACCTCTCTTTTTATTTTGAATCTTTTGGTCCGTGTGATCTTTCTGTGTTTTAAAACATAAACTATGTTATTTACTGATTTTAACACAATAATTTTGTAAGGTACATGAATAATATATATTATAGGTAGGAAAGAAGGTCAGTTCGCAATGCTAATGAATTCATAAAAAGGCAGTAATTTATGATTCAATAGCATATTCACGAGTCTATTTTAGCCGGCATATTACAATTAAACACTGACAAATAGCATGGTTACTTTACGGTCGAAACATTCATTGGACTACCGAATGTCATTGTAAGCATAAGCAAGCATTTGGTTTTGTTCTGTATACATTCAAGTACCATTTATGCCAATAAAAGCTACAAACACAACAAATAACATGAAAAATCGTCAAAATGCTTCAGTTTACTCTACTACAATAATGCTGAATGTTTTAACATATTCCAGGACACATTATTCATGGGAGCTTCACTTTTTATAGGACGTAAGCAAGTATAAGAATTATCTTAATGGTATAGCTTGTTATATCAGTCAAATCTGCAATGGAAACAATCTTCAAAGCATGCAAAACATCCATCTCAAATAATTAAAAAAAATTCTAAGCATATTGTTTGTTGACATATTTTAAAACTTCTAAGACACAAAAGCGAATATGACACCCCAAAGCGAACTTTTCCAAAATGTAGTAAAAATAGAAATACAATTCAATGTAAATATATTAACATCTCCAATAAAGCAAACACTGGTCTAATGAATTTCAAAACAAGGAAAAGGAAATCTTGGACAACTAATCTTAAGACAATCTGATATTTCCTTTACTCAGAATCCCGACTCACCTTGCGAGGAAGTTGTCGAGCTCCGTGACGGTAACGTTGAAGCCAAATTCTTGTAAGCACCGTCGGAAGTCTATCCGAGATATGTAGTTGTCACTCAGGTAGTCAAAGAGCTGGAAGGCTGTCATCATAGCGTTGTAGGACTCCTCAAACTGTGACAGTAAATAGAACACTTGTACAATGTTGGTAAAGGAAACAACTCGTACAACGATGGTAAATGAAAGTACCTATTCAATGACAGTGAATGAAAACTCGTATACAATGAAAATAAATGAAAGCACTTGTAGAATGAAGATTCATAAAAAACAAATTGTAAAAACACTTGTACAGTGACAATAAATGAAAACACTTGTACAGTGACAAAAAATGAAATCACTTGTACGATGACAATACATGAAATCACTTGTACAATGACAATACATGAAATCACTTGTACAATGACAATACATGAAAGCACTTGTACAATGATAGTGGATAAAACTACTTATTCAATAATAGTTAAGGAAATCTCTCGTACAATGACACTAAAGGATTTTTTTTTTAAATTCATCTATACAGATTATGGTCTTTTACCATCTTTTTTCAACGAATATAAAATATTATAATCGAACGCTTGATCAGCATTAGAAACTTCCGTATGAAGCATCAAACTAAATTAAAGCAGCTAAAATAGAAAATGATAATAATACTAATTTAAAAGAAAAAAGACTAACTTTAATCTTACATTCGTCATGAAAAGACAGGACTTTAAAAACAATAAACCCCCAATAACCTACATTAAATCTAGGTGTTCCGGATATGACGTAAATGTCGTCAATCAACCTACATGTTTTCTTGTATAGTAAACAGGTACGTTCCATTAGAGACTACTTATAATTGAGAAACTACTACGTATTCCATTAAGCATGTAATTAAAAACATTTAATAACCAGTTTTTATGTGCTGAATAGATTAAAATAAACAAAAGTATTGATATTTTAGTAATAAGTAAAACTTACCCTATAATGAAGGCAGTCAACGACATTGTCAAGCTTCACGCTTTTCCTCCGTTTGGGAATTCTGACTTTCGATTGTGGTGTTGATAAAGGGGTTTCTGTGGTCTTCGTCTCCTTGGTTGGTTTGTCCGGCGCACTGTCCACCGGCTTCTCGTCAGTTTGTGTAGTTGTATACAAGTCAGCCTTACGTGATGCCGCCTGCTCTTGAATGTCTGTGGTCATAAACACTTCCACATT